AAATATATAATTAATTAATTAAATTATAAATAAATTTTAATGAAAACCTGATTTTTAAAATTTAAAATCTCAAATCTTAATTTTTAAATAGTGATACTTAATACCTTATTTATGTATTGGTCCCAAGATACAATCGCAATCTTTGTTTGATGACATTGATCTTACAAATATGGAAACAAATTTAAAATATGACAACAAAAATATACATTAAGATTAACAAAAAGGGGAAAGTTAATATTTTTCAAATTAAATTGACGACCCGACTCATTTTATTGATCTAATGATGAATCAAACATTGTTTCTGTTAGTGTTTTCGATGATGATGCATTCATCTGTGATGTTTCTAGCATACAAAATTCAAAAAAAAATGATATGTTAGTTTAATAATTTATTTATCAATGTTAAAAAAATCATATAGCATTTATATGACATATCATACAACACGTCTTTATCAAGAATATGATTGTGTTCGGATATCAATATGATGCTGAGATATATGCAATTATAATTAATACTTAAAAAATTTTGTAATATCAAAAATTGGGTAAATATTAAAAAAAATCTCAAATAATTGTATTTAATATAAAATCATTCAAGGATCAATACAAAGTGGTCGTTGTCATTTCAACAAAATCTTAATTGCCAAAGTTCAATATAATTGAACATGTGCTAATATCCCATCATCTTTCCTAAAAGTAATTATCCAATCACAGATCATTAAATAATAAAACAAGTTAATAAAAACCACAAAATTATAAATATTAAAAATATAAATCGTCAAGTCGAAGATAAGTCATGATGGTGAAAAGAGATCTGACGTATAGAAGTTCAATCAAAGATGGCTCTATAAATTCATAAATATGAATAAAAAGAATAATGCATATTTGTATGAATATGATGAGACAACAACAATGTCGGCTACCACGTGTTTAGGACGTCCCAAACGGATGTATATATACAATTAAAATGATTTGTGGTAATATATAAATCTAAACTATAAATATATGCAATTAAATTCATGATATTAGGAATTAAATTGAAATATGAACCAAGCGTAACTAATCACAAAAAATAAATAAATAAAAATACAACACTCATCAACTTATAAGTAGTTTATGTTCATCATTTAAATGTACATTACTAAGAGAATTAAAAAAAAATAGAGAGAAAAAAGAACTACATTATCTTTTTAGCATAATCAAAAATTGAGTCAAAAACCAAAATAATCATTTTTTTTTGTAGAACTTGCCTCATGCAAACCGACTTCTCCAACACTCCAATGCCCAACATGAATACATTCACATATCTAAACATCATCTAGGCTATGTTCGAGTTTTGAGAAGCTTTAATCCATAATAAATTGCTTTCATTGACAATAGTTCTAGAATGAGAAATGTCTTTTTTTTATATAGTTATAATGATCTTAATTACGTTTATTGTATAGTGTATGTACTAAACAAAGCATACCTCATCTCGTATCTCATTTATTTACATTAATTATTAATTATAAAAATAGTTATCTTTCAATCACTTTCACATGCCCTCCATTGACAGGAAATTTCAAATGTTAGTCTCAACATACCCTCTCCATCTTCTTTTATCGTACATTCTCTTTGTATATTAAAAATTTTAATATGTTAATGTTGTGTGTGGATGATTTATAATTTCAACGCATATTGTAATATTATAATAATTTATTTAATTTCATATAATGATAATAACATAACGAAAAATAATTGAGGATTTAAGTGCGCCAATAAGCAAAGATTATAAATGTTTGTTGCAGTTATCCCATCATTTGGTAATCCCTTTTTATTTAAACTATGGATGTTAACGAGACGAGCCGAAACTCGAGGCTTAGGGATTGGCTCGAGTAAAATGGTTCGAACCTTTTTTGCAAAAAAATCTAGGCTCGACCCCAACTTTTGGCTGGGATATTATCGAGTTGGCTCTCAGCTTTTAATTTTTAATAATTTTTTTTAAAGATCAATTCATCACAATCGAGAATGGCTCGTGACACTAGCCAACCATAGCCAACCACATGGGCAGGATCGGGCTCGGGACAATGTGCCAAAATGGGGCTCAACCCCGAGCCTCGGCTCGATTGAATCGCTGACTCGCGACTTTTTTCGGATCGAACCATGGGCTGCCCGAGCCAACAAGTCAAATAACACCCATAATCTAAACTTAGGTATTGTGGGGATTCATATTTAACTATCAATTAAAACAACTTTTAAATAAGGATAAATATAAAATAAAATAAAATTTTATTCAATTGTATAATAACATTCTGTATACATTAATTTTAGAAAAATTGCAGCAACAGTTCCAAACCTTTCAAAAGTTTGGGATCGTTGGTGGCACAAACTGAAAGTTAAAATAAAGTACGCGAAAAATCAAAGGATTTGGGATCGTTGCTGCACTTTTTCCTTACTTTTATTACATTAAATATATTATTTAATTGTTAGGATATGTGTGAAACAACCAAATGAAACCATCATTTAAGTAAAGGAATATGGATGATATCTTTTGTAGGCATCCGATCTCCGAGGTCGATAAGTGTTGTTTGGTGTATGCAATAAGCATGTGCTAATGTGAGTTTGGTATACAAGGCCAACTCGAATTATGTAGTCTAGCGAGGCCGATGGGAACATAATGATGGAAGATTTCTTACACATTATACTAACAGTCAATTAGCAAGTGGCATATGAACGCTCTTACGTCGTGTTGTTTGGTGTATGCAATAAGCTTGTGCTAATGTGAGTTCGGTATATGAGGTCAGCTCGAATTATGTAGTCTATCGAGGGCGAAGGAAACATAAAGATGGAAGATTTCTTACACATTATACTAACAGTCAATTAGCAAGTGGCATATGGACAATTTTACATCAACGTCCGCCAAGTCTACCAATCATGTACTTTAGCTTCCTTCCCTAAGTAATTCATTAATTATTGGGGACTACATGTGAGGTTAAATTCATGATGACTTAACAAGCTGAGCTCGTCAACCAATCCAAACATGCCAGAAAATGTACCTTCTTAGTTCGGTACTGTAGCTGATAAGATGGGAAATGAAGGATACATGCAGATTTCTTCCTCTAAAAGGGAGGAGGGAAAGAAAAGGAAAGACAACACATTTCTACTAAAAAATATTTCTACATTTCATATTTGAAATATCTCCTTCAAAAAAAAAAAAAAAGAATAATTGGTATATGATTCTTGTAACTCTTGGTTTACAGTCAATGAAATTCTTGTTTACATTCTAAGTTGGCTCGAATCTTGTTCATACAATTTTCAACGTCAACATCTTTTTTTTTTTAATTGGTAAATTCACCGAGGAAATAAATTTAAGTTATATTTTTATAATAATTTTTTTATTAAAAATATTAATTTAAGGAATTATTGACAAATAGAAAAGAAAATGAATTTTTATTTTATTTTATGTTGAATAAGTTGAATTAATGTTATAAAGTAATTATTAACAAAACTAAAATTAAATAATGGTATATTGGACTTATAGCTGAATATGTAAGAGTAAATTGGGTATTTAAAAGTTTATCCTCAATCCTCCATTTAAGTATATTGTAGATGTAGATTAATTTGATTTTTTATTAAAACATTTTAATTTTATGCTAATATGTGATCAAATAATATAAATTTTAAAGTTGGTGAAAAATTAGGAATAAATGTAAAGAAAATTACTAAGCATCTGTATATCTTCAACAATCCCATTGAAATCATCCATACATAATAAATCATTTGTATCATTTATGCGCTTACCACAATCATTTATAATAATAATACAACAAATATAAATATTAAAATCCAATACATCTATTAAAATAAAACTAGTAGCAAATCTTTAGAATTACAAAGTTCATAATCAATGTATGAAAAAAGCACAATCCTATATTAGAAGTTCAAAATACTCAACCCGACCAATCAAGCAAGCAAATCAAAGGAGTTCCAAGTTAGGTCATCTCCTAATTTCTTAGATCATCACAAGTGTCATCCTGAAATTTAGATCTTTAAAAACCTTTATTGCTTTAAGATAAACATCTTTAGACACTCATTTCATATTGTTTTAAGATGTTCAAACACTCCATATTTGAATAAGGGTCCGAACTAGCGACTTTACTAGTGCCCTCGTGATTAGATAATTTTTTTTCGAAAATAGCATACAAAACGCATTTTGAGTGTTTTAAAAAACAAAAAATTGAAAACGGGCTGAAAGCAAAAAATCAAACGCATCATGCGTTTTTTAAAAAATGGGAACCAAACATTAACATTTGTTTTGCTAAGCTTAAATTGAGCGTTTTAGCTCTTTTCTTTCTCTTTTTAACAAGGTAAGCCCTTTCATTCGGCATCATCGACTCACTAAGGTCGACTTTCATCCCTACTCGACAGATGGGTCTTGCATTTATGTTTCCTTTTATTTTTCACTCAAGTGTCAATATTCGACCAGTTGAAGAAACCTTTGCTATGGTGCATTCCTAAAAAGAAGCTGATAATTGCATTTTATGTGTTTATCTTGGCTTATATTCTTATTTATTCATATATAATTAAGCGATTATCTATTTAATTTGTGTAAATTACATTAATTGTAGTAAAATCCCAATTTGAATACAATTTATGTGAAAAAGAGGCTATTTGGAGTTGATCTAACCGGATTGCAAATGATTAATTGGAAGTATTAATAGAGCATTCGGTAAAAATTCGTAAGTTCGGGAGCTAAATTCAATATTTGAAAAGTTTGAAACTAAATTGCAAGCTCCGAAACTTATCTCGGGTCAACTGTTATTACTTTGGAATGAAGATGACTTAATTGCAAATATTACAAAATGAAGGAATCAAGCCTCCGTTTGATTCCCTTTCTCACATCCTAAAAATGCATTTTCATGTCACATCGCATGGGTCGCTATAGTGTTTTTTGTTTTTTTGGTCAAATGAATTTTGTGAAAAATGACATATATGCCCTCATCTCATGGAATTCAAACTGTTGCCAAAAATAAAATGAAACACGTGTTTGCATTGATGGAGGGGTAGAATGTAGAAATATGTGCTTGCATTGTCAAATTGTTCACAGTATTTTGTCATAGAAGTTGTTGCTCCAACGTCCTTTTTTTGTACAAGTGAGGAAAAAATGTGCCCCAAATAGAGGTCAAGTCACATGAGAAAAGAAGTTCAATTGGAAAAATGAACTGTTTCCTTTTCTTTCTTAAATTTTTTGGTAGAAACTAATCGGAGCTCTTTGCTGGAAATCAATTTGAACGAGGACTTTAATCTTGTTTTATAAATACACAACATAATCCAACAATAAAAGGGGGATTGTGGGGTTTCATTATACACATATTCAAGCCAATGCGGGTCATTGCATATATTATTCAAACCAAAAGGAGGGGGAAAAAAATCAAGAAATCTATCAAGGAGTTAGGGTTTCAAGATTTTACAAGAATAAAGCAGAATTTTGGTGCAAAATTTTCATCTTTTTCTCATTTTTCCTTAATATCCGATGATGTACTTTAATTCCTTCTTTTATTTTTATTTTCCCATGATGTGTGATTAAGTATTTAGTTAGGATGAATGATTGTAATATAGTTTGGAACATTAATTTTAATTAAAAAGTTTTAAATCTTCAATTGATTTTGTAATTGATTTTACTTCTATTTTTAATGCTTGGATTGATTGGCCACTAGTTCATTGATTTCATGAGCAATAATTACGTAGAGATGTTGATTATTTGTTTAGACAATATAATAAAATCATGTAATTTAGTATAAAACGTAGAAATAACTATGCTAGTTAATGTGGTTGTTACATGAATTCTTAGAACAGTAATTTCATTTAACTAAGAATGATTTGCATAGAGATATAGAATTAAATTAATTAAATAGATTCAATAAGAACTCAAGAGTGGTAAATTGAATACATTGGAAGAATTTGATTGGGTAATTATAATCAATTGCATAAACTTGGTAATTGAGATTAAAGTAATAACTATGGTAAAATCATAAATCCTAATACTTAAAATCATCATATAATTTTTTTTTTTTTTAATTTTAGTATATTTAAAATAAAAAATCACAAAAAGAAAAATAACTGCTTCATTTATTTCCGATCAAATTTAAGTTATGAATAATTGAATTAATTGTTAAATAGTAGTTCAAATGTAACAATATTCGGACTCATATGTCCACTTTATTACTTATTACGATCCGTACACTTCGAAATATAAAAAGAAACGTAAGCTCAGTGATTCACTCGATAGAAGTGCGGAGCAAGGCCACTCATCCAGCCTTATAGCGCACAACAGGCATCATAACTAATTAGAGGATAATTGAGCTCATTTTAAGTTCACTTTACAATTTTTTTCTGTATTTCAGTACTCAAAATTAAAATCTTCAAACCTTATTGACCAATTTTTTTTTTGTTTACTCTCATCGGATTGTGTTAATTCAGCAAAATGCCACGGTCCAAATTTAGGCCCATTCTTGCAGGGTATGTAAATATCCAATGCTCAATATCCTTATTAAGCCCAAACCCAAATTCACAATCAAGTGCAATGGCCCAAATAAGGTTACTTGTGCCTTTTTTTTTTTCAATTCTAAATAAGATTAATACATAATATGTCAAATATTTTACAATTTCGAACTTGATGATGATTCATTGACTCTATTGTAATCCTCATAATGCGCATGAAGAGCGAAAATTGGATTGACTACTTAGGGGCCGTTCTCTTTGCCGTTTTCTGTTTTCGATTTTTCAAAACAGTGAAAACGCGTTCTCTTCCTTATTTTCGAAAACAC